GTAACCAACAAATATTTCCAAAAAAAGATTTATTTTTATTTTTTTTTTTTAATTATGGGAGGGATCTGTAAGTTGAGTTTCAAATCTAGAAGATTAGGACTGATTTGGAATGCGTTTTCTCAAATTAGTATTTCACACTAGACCTCTGAGTTTGGGTAGGCATATTTAATTACAATAAATCACTTGATTTTCCATAAAGATTCTGATATGTATATTTTCCATACGCTCAGGATAGAAGTGTGCTTTTCTTTACTTTAAAAATATTTAACAATAAACTTGCCTGGTGGTTTTATGAATTTTACATACGATCCTAAGCTTCTCACTCAAAAATCATACAAGTGTTCACAGCCCTTATTTACTTCGCTTCTTGCAAAACTGGGTGCTTGACACAATGTCTAAAATCAGACTCTGTTTGTGAAGCCGGTGCTGTGTCCAATAGTGTCTGTACCCAATGCTGAAGTTGCGTCCCCTCTCAGCTTGAATTGCACCTTGACTACAGACCAGCAGTGCAAACCAGCATCTCTCAGTACCCAAATCAAAACTGAGCAGCACGGAAGTGTTGGCTTTTGAGAGGCCAAATCCAGATTCCAGAAATGGAATTTGTCCATGCAAAAGAAGTACCACCCTTGCTTAGCTAAATGCTGCTGTTGGACTCTCATTAACCACAAGCTGTCAGGACTTGAGTTTCACTTCTCACAGAAGAAGGCAGGATTATTTATGTAGACTTTCTTGGGACGCAGCTGCAGTGCCAAATGGGAGTGCACACCCGTGTTTGGGCTCACAGGCATACACACACACCGTAAGCTTAAGAGCTGACTGAGAAACTCGATCAGAAAGGGCAGTGCACAAAGGTCTCCTGCAGGTTGCTGCATCACTGCAGAGACTGCATGACTCATTTCAGCATCTGAGCATCCTTTATCTTTGAAATGGATCACCTGATTGGTGATGACTCAGTCAGAGCGTGGTCACCTTCTAAACCTCCAGCTCATTTCTCGAAGTGCTGTGGGAGCCCATCTCCACTCTCTTGCACCTTATCCCTCATCTGCACGGCTTTATGCCTTTTCCTGGGAATGCAGAGGCAACACCATCCACCTACAGTTTCTGATACAATAGGAATTTATTGCAAAGAATTGCAGAATCATAGAATGCCTTGGGTTGGAAAAGACCTCAAAGACCATTTAGCACCGAGCAGAACCACTGGCAGGGTTGCCACCTCCCAGATTATTTATATCCAAATCTCCCAACTTCAACCGTTTAGTAGTTAGTTTGCCCAACTAAGATAGGTGACATGGTCCTACAAGAAGCAATGAAGGAGGAAGGACACCCCCTGAGCATGACACTCCACAGCATGATTGTCAATCCTTCTTAGGGAACCAAAGCTTGGGACAGTTTGTTCCCAGAGGTGCTTCTGTCTCTGCTGAAGCCCAGGAAGGAGCCTGGCTGGCTCCCACTAAATGCAAGATTGAACAGCTGAAGTGAGCTGAGTTGAATCCCATGCAGATGTCAGTCAGTGGAAAATCATGTCCTCGCTTTTCCCTTAAGGTTTCCCCCTCACAGACCTTTCCCTTTTTGGCTGACAAAAAACTAAGAAATCAGTTTGCACAGTTTGACTGCCAGGCAGATAAAATCAGTAGTCAAACAAAGGCAGCTAAGATAGCCAAGACTGTTTGAGAAGTTAAATTCATGTTCTAGTCATACAGATGAACTCATTTTTAAAAGTTCCAGCTTCCCCACGCTCACAGGGCAACCCATTAATCTTTTGTAGCATCTATCATCATGGGCAGGCAGCATTGCAGGCAATTCTCTCCTGGAGCTGCTCGTTACCTCTCCCTCATTACTGCATCACCTGGCCTATTTCCTCAGAAATTCTGATATCCTTAAGTTCTTAAGTCAGTGATGGCAACACTGAAGTATTTCCCTCTTACTTGCAAATGGGGAACACAAAGATGTGCAACTGCATTCTCTTCAAGAGATCCATGGTAAATCAGGAGGGCACATCTTATTTTTAGGCATCTGGAGCAGAAGTTCTCTTTTGAAATTTAGACATTTCCAGAACATGGCATCCACAGCTGAATTAGTCATCCAAAGGCATGCCCCATTTTCTTTATATTCAGCTGAGAGACCAGGATACTTTGAGAGTGCAAGACGCAGTTAGAAAGGGAGCTCGATAAAAGTTCCGTCTAGAACAGAAGTAGGTATTCTCATCTAGGCACCCTTTTTCCATAAAAGGTTGGACCAGATGATCTTTCAAGTTCCCTTCCAATCCGAGCTGTTCTAAAATTCCACGTTTCTATACTTATTTCTCATTCTAGCAATAAGGAGGTGATTCAGCTGCCCTGCTGGCAGGAGGCTGCTTTAGTGTCAGGTGTGCTACATGCCAGAACTATTTAATCCACAGCCTGTGAAGAAAGGCCATGGGATTATATGAGATGTAGACAGATAAAGCTGAAGGTGACATGAAATCCATAACGGTACATCAGTTATCCTAAGGGATGAGGACAAGCTCCCTCTGCCTGCAGCAGGAATAAGTAACTCTGAAGCTGTTCAGAGAGATACAGGCTGTGTCTAAGACTTCCCATTTCTTCACACTGGCATTGTTTAGAAGCATTGAATCCCATCCCAGGTTTTCTGGGTCACATATTAATTTTTCCAACTGGTAAAATTCCTGCCTTGAACAGTCAGTCTTTGTATGAGGAAGGAGGTACTGTGGACTGTAGGCATCTGTAACTGGACACACAGGAGAGCGAATGGCCATGCATGGCCGCGTTGTCCAGCACCCCTCAGAGTGAGCGTGCAACCAAATGCTCCAGGTAAGAAGGACATCTTTGTGCTGGAACTGTACAAAGAAAAGGGGGGAGGAGGAAGCAAAGAGCACAGTTGTGATGAGTTGCAACTTTCAGATAAACAAAATTGGAAAAGAAGGAGATAAGTAGAATCATCCAGTTTTATATGATAAGCAACTGTGTTAGCTTGCTGCCATGGTTAGGGGGATGACAAGGCTGTGGCTTGTTTATGCTGCATTCAGAAAGACTGAAGCTAAGAGGAAGAGCCTTTGGTGACCAGATTTTTGTCCAATTTTTGTTTGTCTTAGTTACTGCTCCTTGTATTTTAATCCTGATCATACTTCAACCATGCAAGAATCATGCATGACAGTCATTTGTCACAATGCTAAACCAGCTTATCTCAAAGTCTGTTGAGCTTCCTCTGCTCTTTAGCATATGGAAGAGCATTACTCTTGATTTGGTTTGTTTGGCCAGTGTAGACAGGGATTAGCCATGCTATATATGGACCATAAACACTGTTCTGGTTAACACTACATTTGAGCCAAACCTGAACCTTTCATCTCACTCTTTGCAAACTTTGGTGGTTTGGATGGAAACGGAACCTGGAATTGAACTGTGCTTTATTTTTGTTTTTGTTTAGAAAACCCAAAACCCAATCAGTAACAGTTTTGAAAACCAACTTCCAGCATCCTTAGCCCACCTCCAGTGAGCAGGAATCAATTGCCCGTGTAGGCAGGGACCTGGCACTGGGATGAGAGCCAACACATGAAGGAAGGAAACTGTTTCAAGCAACCTGCAGTAACTTTCCATAAGGATCACAGTGACATGAGGGCATGCCAAACGTTGTGTCTTAATCCCTCCAACCAACACGTGTGTCTGTTGAGTGAAAACATGGTGGTCTCATGTGGAACAAAGATGGACTTCTGTAGGCTGCGTGCTTAACTGGTTTGGTTAAGACAAGGAAAAGCCTTTGTTTGCTTTTCACCATCAGTTTGCTATCTGAAATATCAAACCAGCCCGTAATGGAAATGAATTTCTCACATCAGATTTTTTGGATGCCAGAAATAATAATAGTATGGTGTTAACGCCTCAGTATTATAGATAAATCTACTAATTTGTGTCTTTGTATCCACAGCAGGGCTTTAAAATTTGCACTTAATTGCAGCAGAAGTAGTTTTAAAATCCATTTGCCTTATGCTGACCATTCTTGTAGCATCTCACCACCTTCTGTGTAATGCATTCCCAGTGCTCAAATAAAGCTCCTTCACATGGTATAGTAATTCCATGTATGCAGACCTTTGAGGCTGTTGAAAAACTGATGTTTTCTAATGTGTTCCTCGCTTTTCAGATCATTATAAAAGTAGGATCCTCCTTACCATGCAGTATTTACCAACTGGGCACTGTGGGTACAGCACCTTGGAACACAGCATGCCTTGCCAAGTCTTTGCGTATTCCCCAGAGACTGCTCTATCATCCTACACTGTATACAGTGGATTTGATCCAAGAACAAATGTTTCTAATGAGTTCGGTGGAAATTGGAGGTCTACTGTACTGCTTGTAGACTGGTGTATTTGTCAAGCTGGGGTGCACAGCATGAACAGTTTCTTTCTCAGTCTCTGCTTTGTTGAATTTTGTAACTGAAACTGCTAAATACTTACAGGGAGGGATCTGTATATAAGTTGAATTGGGTAAACGGTCATGCTTCCATGCACAAAAACGTAATTATTGAAGACATTAAGCTTCCAACTAGCTTTTGCTGCTTCTGGTGTTGACTTGTCCAATCAAACCAGAATGCTGAAAACTGGAATCTTCTATGAAGCAATGATTAACTTTGCCTCCAGCAGGTGACATGCAGCCCCCACATCTCCATGGGAGATCTGAGTCAGTTAGGACACGACCATTCTGTGACTGGTCAGGAATACACAGTAGGTAATTCAGCAGTCAATACATGTCTACATGTCAGTGAGAAAAATGTTGAATTCTGCCCATGGGCAGAAGAATGAGAGTGGAACAATAATTCAAATGTTAAATTGCATGTTTCCATACCATGTCTCTTTGAGTTTGTCTCCTTTCTAGTTGTCCTGTAGAAAGCATCACTAGCAGCTAGTGAAATTCTTCCGTGTGTCAAAAATACCTAATCTCACTGAAGTTATGGCAACAGTAAATGCATAGAAGTAGCTGATGTTTATCAAGGCTTATGACATGTCTTCCTTGCAGACTCAGACCCTTGCACACCAGATGCTCCACCTGCTGCCACTTCTCCACCAACTTCAGAAGAACTCGGGCCTTTCACTGCCCCAGCATCACCCTCCTCTTCCTCTGATCCTGGTACTGCATCATTTTCACCACCGCTACCCCCTTGCGTTGCAGCCTTGCATCCCAAACCACCTCCTGTTCCACCACCACCGCCAGCTTCTGCTGGCACAGTTCACCCTGGACTCCCTGCTGTTCCTGCACCGCCTGCCTCTACTTCATCCCTGCACCCTGGACTTTATCTTCCAGTCGTCCCACCCGGCAGTGCCACCCACCTCATCAACTGGCTGCCTTTCTTGGCTTCAGCAACACTCGCCACCATCCGTGGGAAGGAGGAGGATCAGCCACCTGTAGGAACATGCTCCTTGGAAAGCGTGAAGCGAAGCAACAGTGCACCCCCACCGCCTTCCCATGATGACAACCACCATGCTGCACCCGTGGAAGACAGGGCTCCAGAAGATGCTTCCCTGCCAGCGGCTGCCCACGCCGTGCCCTCGAGCTCTGAGCAGGGATCAGCAAATGTGAGTGACATCCTGGCAGAGCTGCGGACCATGAACGGCCACCTGTCTGTCATTGCACGAGCCCTGACACAGCTGGCCTCATCGCTGGCACCGCAGCAGGGCACACGTGGCACCCCACCTCCTTAGTGCTGGATGGCCCATCCTGCTCACCAGGGTGACACTGGCCAGGGACAACCCACGGTGGAGATGAGGAGGAGGGAGACCCTACACGATGCTGTCCATGTGCTCTGTGCTGTTTCAATGTGCTCTGACAGATGCCAAGAAAAAACCCAATTTTTTTTTTTTTTAATTTGTTTGTTTATTCCCTCCTTGTAAACAGCTGCATATATTAAAAAAAAAAAAAAAAAAAAAAGTTTTTGTGGTATTGTTAATAAAACTGTTTCTATTTCTTGCATTTCTTTCAGATGTGCTCATTCCCTTCCTCTCACCCATGAACCAAATGAGTGCTTGCAGAAATCGGTGAGGTCTTGCACAGAAAACAGAGAGAATCTGAAGTGGTGAGAAGTTACCCATGTCAAAATGCTCCAAGAGGTGATGAAACCTCTCAGAGTAAAATGGGGAGACACAGATAGGAAATTATACAATAAAAACTGGAAAACAAATTCCAATTTCTCTCAGCCCAAGCTGCACACCGTAGCTCTGTTGAAGCTGGAGCACTTCCGAGTACTTTATTTCTCAGGGGTAATTTTAATTACCAACACAGATAAAGGATGTGATAAATTGTTCAAAATATCATGTGAAATAGTTTGATCTCAAGAGCTACTAAAGAATGTCCTCAGATTTTTGTCCTTCAAGTGGATGAACAGAAGGCAGAGAAGTGCTTGGCTGTCAGATTTACTTGCCACTGCTGATTAGGTTTCTTCAAGGGCATGAATGAGCCAAGTCTGTTTACAGCAATTAGGCAGATACATGTGGGTTGACCCTAACATTTCAACATCTTCTCCCTTCTGCCAAACTGTCTCTCCTAAAGATGGCACTGAGGGTGTGAAACCACAGGCAGTCCTCCTAGTGGATAGTCAGCACTAGAGGTGTGGGAAATGAAGGAAGTCAAAGAAGGGTTGGAAGGGACCTTAAAGACCACCTAGTTCAACCCTCTGCTATGGGAAGAGACACTTCCTACAAGACCATGTTGCATAGAGCCCCTTCCAACCTGGCCTTGAGCATCTCCAGAGATGGGACATCCACAGTTCCTCTGGGCAACCTGTTACAGAGGAGAGCTCTTGAGGGAATCTGGACTTCACCCCTACAAAATCTGTGAGCTGAAGAGCAGCTGGTGAGGTATCCTTGGCTGCTGCCTGGCTTGTCCAAAGCACTGGAGCTGGGAGCCCAGCATGTGGATGTGCTTGGTGCTGTGGACCTGCAGTGTGCACAGAGCTATTCTGTGCATCTCAGCCATGGTCTGCCCAAAGAACAAACATCCAGCATCCAAACCAAAATATTTTCCTGAAGATGGGCCAAGCATGGGGCCATCAGAGGCTGAGCCAGGCTACGTGGTGATCAGTCTTTCATCCCAGAGAGTTAAGAGGAACTGAGTGCTCGTAGCAATCAAGAGGAAAGAAAGCCTTCTGTGAAGTTCTGTGTGAGCTCGCCTTAATTTAGCTGTGCAGCTCTCAGATATCAGGATCTGAGGCCATCTCCCGGAAAAACCCAGCAGACAGATTGTTAGATAAGATAAAAGAGGAAGTATTCTGTCTATCTGCAAATATTTCTGTTACAGATGAGCCTAACCCACAAAGACTGAATGAATATACAAACTTCCCCAAAGCTCAGGTGTATTTGAATTTGAGGTTTTTGTTACTTTATATATATTTGTATATAAACCTATCCATATTTTTGTGCCTGTGCCTGAAAGACAAAGCAACTGAACTGTTCAGTCAGGTTTTTTTTTCTAGGGTTGATCAGTTTTGTTTCTTCTGATGTGTTTGGTGAAAAGAAAGATGTTTCATAGACGGCCTTCATTACCTCTCAGTTCTGTGTGTTTTAAAGAAAATGAGACAAAGGGAACGGCTTAGAAACAGTTTGGCTTTTGATTTGTCTTCCAGAGAATTAAAAGAATAAAAAGCAAGAGTAAAGTTATCCATTTCCCCATTTCTATTAGGAAATATAGGACAAGAAAGAATGGGGAAATCTCTATGGTTAAAAAAAATAAGGAACCATTTTCATTTTTAACCCACTTTCTCCCTTTCAGTTTAACACAGTAGTAAATAACTATCATATTCTCCCTCTCTTGGTACAACATGACTGGTAAGGACAAGTGAGTGCAGTTTTACTTGTTTATCCAGTCCTTTGCAAATAGTGACCTTTATAGCCTGCAATTGGCAAAAGTTCCAGTGGACGTCTCCGGACCCATGCAGGAGCTGCTCCTTTGCACAGACAGCTTCAGCAAATCTCACCATGCAGCTGCTGATGCTTTATCAACTGAAGTTAGAGAAGGCTTCATTTAGGTCTGTAAGAGATTAGGAAACATTCTCCATGACATGTACATCTCTATGAAGTACAAAGTTGTGAATATCATTACATACTCAGCTGTGAAGAAGCTCTTCTTTCTCAAAAAAAATGCCACAATTGTAATCCAGCTGGCAGGGAGGGAAAAGAGCTTTCCTGAGGCTCTTACCAAAAGAACTGAGATGTCTGTGGTCCCACAGCCAAAGATATTAGATGCTGAGTACTGGATGCTGTCTAGTCTCCAAGCTGTCTGGTCAGAACCAGAGACTTTCAGATGTATTTGGCAGCCCCTGCTGGCTCTCACACAGGTGCAGTAACTGGCTGGAGAGCCACCAAGGCAGTCTGTCTGCAGGCAGGGTCCCCTGAAGCGAGCAGAGCTGTGGGGCTCAGAGCTGACATTGGTAAAGCCATAGACTCAGAGAAGCACAGAATGGTTTGGATTGGAAAGACCTTCAAGGCCACCCAGCTCCAACCCTCTGCCCTGGGCAGGGGCATCTTCCACTAAACCAGGTTTGCCCAAAGCCCCACAGCCAGCACCACCAGGGAAGTGGCACCAAGGGGCCAAGCGAAGAGTCCTGCCCAGGGGCATCCCATGCAGTAAGGTACCTTATTCTTTGCTTATTATTTGCTTATTCAGCAAATTTCATTGACTTCTATCCCTTGTGAATTATTTTACTCCTTCGACTTAGTTGCCCCACTCAAGCACTGCAGGACATGCATGGCTGTGCTTCTTGGCTTTCATCTGCAGCCAACCAAGGCATTACTCTCTTCGTTATTCATTTTGATTCAGAGAGCAAAAGGCCAAAAGATCTATTGTTTGGGTATGTGTTCAAAGGGTAGAAAAGGTCTCAACCTTTTGGTTCTGATAAATTAATAGAAATTAATTTATTTGCTGTTATTTGCAAAGAATGAGGACAGCAGCTTACGGGGTAAGATTTGTTATACAACTGACAGATGATACTCTTACTGAAAAGGAATCAGATGAGTAAAACTTCAAGGCAAGAGGCATGTCTGTTAGACTGAGAGTCAGTATTGGTAAGTGCTACACCCCCCTGGGGCTGCACCATCAAGCCCCAAAGCACAGAGATCTCATCTTTCACATCTGCATGTAAACAAATACTGAGGATGGGCTGCCCATCGCCACACTTTCGTATCCAAATTTGCCTTTTCAGGTTCCTCTACAATCAAGCAGAGGCAAGGGCTTTCAGCGTGTGATTGATCCTTGCCTGAGAAATGTATTTAAAATTAGTGGGATGAATTTCCTCCTGGAAGCATCCATCCCTCTCTGTGGCTGCAGACAAGAAGTTTAAGCCAAATGCTTAACTTCCAGATGGCGAGAGGTAAATGGAGTGAATCCTCTGCTTGGTAATTGCAGTTTGTTTCCAGCGGGTGAAGCTTTAGTATACCACATTTATTTGAGCTCTGATCGATGTGTGAGGAGCTGGAAGAGGGGAACTGGGAGCTCAAGAGAATAAGACTGACAGTGAAACTGGAAACTCTGCAAAATATCCAGCTCCAGCTCTGGGCCAGGAGAGTTATCCTGCAGGACTCCAGGTCATTGCTTTCTCCCAGAGATTCAACTCTTCAGGATGCGGGGCTGGAAGCTAAGCAGCTTTATGGGATTTCAGTGATGTGCTCAGTGTCTGCTGTTTCAGCAGGAATTATTTAAGGATGCAGCAGACTGTACGATATTGTATGAGACTGCAACTCAAGAAGGTGGGAGAACTCACAGGTTTACCCAGGAGGAATAGGAGACCAGGAGATTTTTCCCTTTGTTTTCTCTAGCACATATCGTGCTTCCAATATTTGTACACATATTCACCTTAAGGACACTCAAATCCTTCAGTAAAATAACTCAGAAAGAAGCAGTGGTAGGGAGTGCATTCCTTTGTGATAGCCCAGCTGCGTGCTTGGAAGTGAACTCCTTCCTATAGACAAGAGGGATCTTCAGCATAGCTTTGACTGGGATGCCAGATACAGTCAGCACCTGCAGGCGCCCCTGAGGAGACCCATCTCTGCCCACAAAGCTGTATGGCTGGTGTGCCTCCAGCTTCCTTCCAGGCCTTTCACTACAGCGTTTTGTAGAATTCTTTGGGTTTCCATTCAATTTATTTCAGTCTGTGAGCAGCCAGCCAGGGCACCTGTATCAGGAGAATGGTTGCACCCTGAGCCACAAGGCTGTATCTCAAACCCACAGCTGCAAGCTTGGTGATAACTGCTCATTAGATGCCATGGGGCAGAAGACTTTGCATTGCTGGGGTGAGCAAGGCTGTCCCTCAGCAGCGGTTGTGCTGGTGTGTGGCTATGCACTGCTTGGGATGGGTGGCTATGACACCCTGCCAGTGACCAAACCACACACTTCACACACGTCCTTTGGTTTGGGAAACCCTCTGCTCATGTAACCCACTGTTAACTTCACTTTGGGCTGGGGACCATCGAGGTAGGCAGCATTGCTCCCAGATTGCACAGACCCCACAGCCCACGGCTGAGCTGGGACGCTGCTCTCGCATGACTCCATATGCAATCTAAAAGGCATTATATTTTTGCTTTCTCTGATGCTTCTGGTAATTTCCCTGGTGAGATTTTCTTTTCTTTTGCTGTGCCATGGCAGACACTAAAGTGGCAGACATGGTGGCTCCCCACTTAGCCATGAACAGGCAGGCTGTAAGGCACAAGGCAGTTGGCACTGCTCCTAAAGGAAATAATGGTGACACTTTCTGGGCCAGGTTTTCAGATGGCGTGAGTGGATGAGAGCCCATCCTTTGTCCTGGGTGCACCATGGTGCTGAGCAATGCTGTCCA